AATGAAGGGATAAAATATGAGTATGACAATGAAAATTTAAGAAGATTTTTTAAAAGGTATTGATAAGATAAAATAGTTAAAAATGTTAAGAAAGAGGAAAAGATAAAAAAATAGAATAAGAACAAAATAAAATTTTAAAAATTTAACTTCAAAAGGCTAAAGGATCTTGGAAAAAAGCTGTGAATTCTCTTTGCTGCTTTCCCTTGGCTCTGGAGTTCCGTAGATCTTGTTTGGTCAAGTTGGTCTTGGCTGGATGTTCTTGTTGATCTTCTGGGGGAGGGGCCTGTTGCTGTGATTCTTAAATGTCTTTGCCGGAGGTGGAATTATGCTGCCCTTGCCAGGGGCCGGGCTAAGTAATCTGCTCGGGTTCACTTTCAGAAGCTTTTCTTCCCTGTGCACTTTCCGTAGAGCTCTGGAGGACAGGAACGAAGATGGCGGTCACCCAGTCTCCGGCTGGAGGAGCCAAGAGCTCGGGACCCCACTCCTCAGTGCGCCATTGGAGAAAAACCGTCAGTCCCTCCCGTCTCCCTGGTCTCCTGCCACGCTCCGAGCTCACCGGCCTATGACCAAGCATGTCTGTCTCTGGCACGCAGCCCCATTTGGAGTCTCCAAACCTAGCAGATTCCTGCTGTGCTACTCTTCCAAGGGTGTCTCCCCGGATCTTGTGGGGTCCCTTCTCAAAGAGCAGTGGCCTAACTGTGCCACAGATCACAGTTTAAGATAACCCCGAGCAGAGAGCTCACTCCTTGACTCTGTCTCTGCCACCAGCTTCCCCGCTCCAATACCTGAAAGCTCTGCAACACTCAGACACCCCCAGATCCTTCTGAGACCGCACTGTCCTCTTGAGGGCTCCACCCCTGCTTAGCCTCTGGAGCGACGTCCCTCTGTGGAGCAGACTTCTGAAATTCCAATTTTGTGCTCCACTACTCCCCTGCTGGTCGGGAGCTGGGCCCTCCCCCGTGCTCTATCTTCCCATCACTTTGGATTCACTTCTCCGCACGTCCTACCTTTCAGAAAGTGGTCAATTTTGTGTTCCTAGAATCACTGCTCCTCTGCTCTTCCATCTCCTGTTGAGTTCGTAGGTGTTCGGAATGGTTTGATACCTATCTAGCTGATCTCTTGGGACCTGATGTATTTCAGTCTGCTACTTCTCTGCCATCTTGCTTCCTCGAGCACTGCTTCCGTCTTAATTAAAACTTCAGAAAGCTTGCCAGCTCTTGCTTAAATCTTAGCTAATTATTCTTTCATTTATGATTCTATTATGAAGCTCATTAAGAAACTATCATTCATTAAATTAGCATATTATCCTGAACTTTCCTTTCTTATGCAGTGATAGAGTGCTATTATCAATTTATTCCTAGATTATAGACAATGGTTAAATACCTTGCCTCGTTATTGAGATAAAATGCAAAAAATAAAATATTGACTGTTGATGAGAAAGCTATGTGTCAGCTGGTAGGTACTCAGCAGATGTTCAAACATAGTCTATCCTGAAAAGAGAGAACTCAAAATATCCGATTGCAAGAGTACAGAGACCCTGGTAAATTTTAACTTAAAGTGTTGAAACCTGCTACATCCTCATCAGGATGGCAGTGGGGGTGACGTGGCCCAGGATTTGCTAAGGTGGAGGACGTCTCTGTTCTCGCTGAGCAGTGAGCGGTGCATGCGTGTCTGTCGCTGGCGTGCCCTGGAAGGTTTGCCCCTTGCTAAAGCATCGGTGAGGTATTGGGCACCAGCACTCAGCCACTAAGCTTCTATTAATATCGTTTTCCAGTCTTGGTTTTGTTTTTTTAAGATTTTATTTATTTATTTATTCATTTGACCGAGAGAGACAAAGTGAGGGAAGGAACACAAGCAGAGGGAGTAGGAGAGGGAGAAGCAGGCTCCCCACTGAGCAGAGAGCCCAAAGCGGGACTCCATCCCAGAACCCTGTGATCATGACCTGAGCCGAAGGCAGACGCTTAATGACTGAGCCACCCAGGTGCCCCCAGTCCTGTTTTTGATAGCAATTTTCAATTAAATAAGGTTTCAAAAATCCTGGCGACTCTCAATTCTAGATAATCACTTTTCCACTTGTATGTCTGTTCACTGGAAACTCTGTAAAGGTATGTCATAAACCTATTTCTGTGTTTTCCTCTCAACATTTTTATTATTTTTTAAGATTTTATTTATTTATTTGACAGAGAAAGAGAGATCACAAGTAGGCAGAGAGGCAGGCAGAGAGAGAGGTGGGAAGCAGGCCCCCTGCTGAGCAGAGAGCCTGACATGGGGCTCGATCCCAGGACCCTGAGATCATGACCCGAGCCGAAGGCAGAGGCTCAACCCACTGAGCCACCCAGGCACCCCCTCTCAACATTTTTAAGGTTATGTGTTGCTATTTTGGGGTCCCTCTTATTTTTGTGTCATTTCAGGGAGTGTGGGGTCCCATCGGTCTTACTCCTTCCCAGTGACATCCACCCTTTAAAAGACAGTTTTGGAACTGATTTCCTTCCTCAGCTTCCCAGATTAGTTCTACACACGTTCTATTTTTCCTCTCCAAGTCCTGCTTTTCCAAAGACAGTGGTTTCTAGGGATAATGACAGAGGTTTTGATATAGTTGCCTAGAGAATCACAATGAGTGAACATTTCTACTCTCACCCGTTACAAGCTCTCCAAATGTACAAGGTGTATTTATAGAAATAGGTGTATGGCTTTGCCCCCATTTTAAGTGAAGTAGACTGTGTATACAAATATTGAGGGAATGCGTATTACTTTGTGATCAGACTGAACTTTTTTTTAAGAGAAAACCATTCCTGATGTCGATGGGATGCTTTTTCTGTACCACATATTTTTACTCATCTTTTATTTTTTTCAGAGTGGGATATTACACAAGAAAAAGTTCCTATCTCCATTTCTTTTTTCAGAAGAGGCTTTTCAAATGGAACACGAAGGCAGTTTGCCCCAGTCAGGAGATAGCCCAGCCAGCCTGTGTGGGAGCCCGCTCCCCTGCTTCCCTCCAGACGCGTGCTGCTCACCGGCACCGTCCGTGGCCTCTGATGCATAGCACACGAGAGGGCCATCCTTGCACCTATAATGCCTTCGTTAAAAGTGGAACATACTCTCCCTTTTCTATACTCAACTGTTAGATTTTAAAACCAGTAATGGCATTGAAAAGGAATTCATGTTCACTGTGCCCATTTCATGGTGGGAAATGCTGGGGCTCAGCTCGTCTTAACCCAGTGTCCTACCCAGCAGGGGTGGATTGGAACGTTTGTCTCTGCCTCGTAAGAAATCACCCATAACTGTCGTTTCTAACCAAAACTCTGGAAACTTCCCTCCCATATGTCTCTGAGTACCACCACACGTTTCTTGTCAACATCATGCAAACAGGCTGTTTGTCTCCACCGTTCCACTTGGGTGACGGTCCCAGGCACATGCCTGGAACCCGTTCCACAGAAGGCAGTGAGAACATTGCCCCTCAGCAGATGGTGTCGGAAACACACTTTATACCGGGTCCCCTGGTACCGATGATGTTGTAGAACATTCAACTCTATACGAGTGCGTGAGGAATCTTTCACTGCTAGGACCTGTGGTCCTAAATGCTGATGTCATTAGCATGGACTGCTTTCCTTCACCCCAAGGAGCCCTCTGCTGCAGAAGGGGACCCCTTCCTCCCTGGGAGCTGCCAGCTGCACTCCGGTGGGTTCTCTGAGGAGTCACCACTGCGGAGGGAGCCCTTTGGAATTTCGAAACCAAATTCTGTTCTCAACACTAGAACGGGTCAATGGGAGTTATTCCTAGTAGGGACGCCTGCCACCCAGTAGTGGGGTGAAACTGGGAGGCTGAGTGTCCCCACACCCCCAGCTGTGGTGGGACTGCACCGCCCACCAAGAATCTGGAGTCCCCAAGCGCTGGCTCCCAGTGATCTGGTTTCTGCCGCTCACCTGCCTGTCACCCTAGAGCGACTCTCTCCTGTTCTGTTGAGTCGTTTCTAAATTTACAAATTCATTCTATTAACCTTTCCCCTCACCTTTTCCAGGATGCTGTTTTGAGATTCGTGCCTGTCCCTTTCCATATTTCCATCAGGACAGAAATATTTATTCATTATGACAGCTTTTTTCCCAGTTAGAGCAGAATGCCAGCTAAACTCAACATGAGCGTGTGCAAGCCAAGCGTGTTACTGACTGCAGCCGTGAGCCCGTGCAGGTGCACTGGAGTGAGCGGCCAGTGCTGCCTGTCTCCCGGTGGCACACCTGGCCCTGGGGCCTGCCGTGTGAATGGCACGTGGACCGGCCCTGTCAGGGGACATGTCGTACCCAGTGCCTGAACCCCAAATTCAAAACTGGCTCATAGTCGGTGCTTTACAGAGAAACTCAGAAAGATAAGAACGTTGGAGGGAAGAAAGACCACTTAGAAACCCACAAGTAAACCCCTGAGTTCATACTCACCACCACCCAGGCCTGCGTCCCTCTCTTCCCAGCCTGGCTCCTGTCCCATGTGTCCACACCTGTGGGCATGCCAGGCTGCCAGGCCTGTGGGGAGGGGGTCCTCTGGGCTGGGGGTCCCCTGTTGGGAAGTGCAAGGGCCCTTGAAGGATCATGCTGGGGATGTCCTCTGATGGACGGTCCCGGGGGTCCTCTGATGGACGGTCCCGGGGGTCCTCTGATGGACGGTCCTGGGGGTCCTCTGATGAACAGTCCCGGGGGTCCTCTGATGGGCGGTCCCAGGGGACCTCTGATGGACGGTCCTAGGGGTCCTTGGGGGACAGTGCTGGGGTGGGTCCTCTGATGGATGGTCCTGGGGGGAAAGTGCTGAGGGTCCTCTGGGGCACAGTCCTGAGGGTCTCCTGATGGATAGTGCTGGGGGTCCTTGGGAGGACAGTGCTAGGCTGTCTTCGCACACATTTCCATTTCTCTCTGGTGGTAATGTCAGGCTGTGTCTCTGTTTCATACAAAATCCGCCTGTGACTTAAATTGACATGAATAATTCTTCCTTTTCTTCTCTTTGTTAACTGGCTGTAGTGTTTGTGGGAAAAGTGCTGAAGAGGCTTTTCCCTCGTGTTCCCTGCAGCCGAGAAAAGAGCGCACCTGTGACTCCAGCGTCTGACAAACCAGCCAGGAGAGTGGCCGCTGAAGAGGTCCCCAGGTTGACAGGTGAGGGGCTTGCGGGGGTTGGGGGGGGTCACCATCGGTTTCCTGGCAACAGCCTGCCCCGGAGCAGGAGGCTCTGGCTGGCTGTAGGGGGTGCTGAGCTCCAGGATGCCTGTCCCCACACACTCAAGCCCACTGCGCTCCGGTAGGGGAGCCAGGGCTGGGCCCTCTGTCAAAGACCAGTTCAGGATTCTGCTAGGTGCTTGAGTTCACTTGCAAACCCTTCTCTGGTCCCAGAGATGACCGGTGAGCCCGCTGGCTTTGTCTGTCCTCTGCCACTGTCACTCTGTCCCGGCACTGCCTGGCTTGTGTCCATGCTGCACGGGCTCCTGACAGCTCTCCTGCTTTTGTCCCTTATCCACCGGTCTTTGGCACGGGTCTGTCTGAGCTCCTCAAGCAGGATGATGGTCTGCAGCGGAGTCTTGTGAACTGGTGCCCCAGTAGCACAGGGTCTCCTGCTGGGAGGGAGATGCAGGGAGACACCGGGTGAGGTCGGACACACACAGACCATGCTGTGAGCCCCCATCCTTGCTTCTGTTTCCTCTGGTGTGAGCCTGCACTGGCTTTTGTTCCCACGTGACTCTGTTCCTGGCTGCAAGCCCCACGGAGTGACCATGATGGAAGGGACAAGTTAGTTCCTTGGACACACATATGTGACCATGCACCCTTGGCTTGACCTCAGCAGCCGGCCAGGAGTCCTGCCACTGTGCTTGCTGACCCCACGGCCGGCTCCGCATGGGCAAGCCCACGAAACCTGCTGGCCGTCAGCCAATGCGGCGGGTGCTGTGCTGGTGTGGGTGGGTACAGGCGGTCACGGAGGACATGCATTCCCTGACCTTTCACGGACAGGGTCGCTACAGATGTGCTGTTCCTCCAGGACAAACCCACATGTGCCGCGCTCCCTTTCCGTGTCCTTGCCCTGTGCCGGGCCGTGCTGATGACGGTGCCCCCTCCCAGCTCCGTGGGGACTCCTGGCTGTGAGGGAGCCACCGCTGCCTTGAGCAGGGCCCAGCGCACGGGGATGTCCCCAGCACCTGCACCAACCCTAAGGAATGCTGTGTGTCCTTTTTCAAATGACCTGTACCTGTGAGCGCTGAACCGTGTCCCCAGGTCCTTCATCAAGGCCCCAACCCCTATGCCACAGGATGTGCTTATCTTTGGAGACTGGTCCTTTAGGAGGTGGCGGAGGTCGCGAGGGCCGGTCCTCACGTGGTACGACTGCCCAGGGCCAGTCACGAGAGGTGGTCGGGACACAGACCCGCACTGGGGGCTGAGCACGGGAGCACCTGGGGAGAGACAACATGTACACGCTGAGGAGAGAGGCCCAGGAGGAGCCTGCTGCCAGGGGACCCCAGACTCCTACCTCCTGGCCCTGAGTGACACAGGTCTCTGCTGCGGGCCTCCAGCCGGAAACACGGCTGTTCCGGAGTCCACACGACCCAGTTCAGGAGGCGAAGTGCTGCGGGGAAGGCGTGCTGCCCCTGCTTTTCTCTCCAAATTTTACTGAATTGACATTCGTAATCTTGGCCAAAATGTTGGCTTTAGGGTTTGGTTGCATCTTCTTCCGTCTTGTAACTGGACAGCTGTACCAGTGATTAGCCACCAGGGATAAGGCTGGCGGAACATCAGACGAGGGTGTCTGTGTCCACGTGCATGAGCTCACACCTGTCAGAAGCGCACGGCATCCCCAGGGGGACAGGTTGCTGCGGGCTGGCCGTCTGCCACACTGCCCTCGCAGGCCTGGAGCGCTGCTCTTCACATAGATGTCATGGGGTCAAAGCCAGCGCCGTGACTCTGGGCCTTCCATCCTGAGCACGGCGAAGAGATGGCTCTGGGAGTCGTGGCAGCTCCCGTCTGTGCTCCACATAGGGAGGGCTCTAGCTTCAGGGGCTGGGTCCATCCCGTTCCCACACTTCGTACAAGGTGCTCACACTCGCAGGTGGCTCCGGAGCCTCTGGGCAGTGTCTCTGCACCATACTTAGTGCTCAGTCCCTTCGTGTCAGCAGGTCCCTGTTAATACCGCCGTCAGGTGTGGAGACGTTAATTAATCATGAAAATACCATTGTGAAGTTCAGTTCGGAGCATGTTCGCAACGCGGAAACCACTGGTTCGCACAGCCCTACAGCTGTTCCTTCGAGGAGGCACATGCGGCCGTGCGGGAGTCTTCTGGGGTCTCTGAGCACCAGCCATGCCGTCCACGGGCTGGGCTGTGGTTGGACAGCAGAGGCACAGAGTCCCCATGGAGTGCAGAGCCAAGGCCAAGCCTGCGACACTGAGGTCAAGACTTAAGCCAAAATCAAGAGTCCCACAGTTAACCGACGGAGCCATCCAGGCACCTTAATTTAATTTTTTTTTAGATTAAATTCACTTAACCTCAAGCTTACTCTTTTAACCATTTCAGAGCATTCAGCACAGTGATTTTTAGTATATTTACAAAATCGTGCAAACACCCCACTAACTCCAGACATGGTTATCGCTCCAGAAGCAGACCCCATGCACACTCCCTGTCCCTAGCTTGCCGTCCTGCAGGTTTCTCTTCTGCACATTCCACACACGTGGAGTCCTTCGCTCCGAGGCCTGTTGTGACCGGCTCCCTCACTTAGTGCTGTGTGTTTGGGTCTGTCCACGCTGTAGCGTGTCTACACTCACTGCTCTTGGCCACTGGATACTACCCCATTGGATGCCTAGAGCCTGCTGTGTCTGTTCAGCACTCGAAGGAGGGATAGCTGCCAGGAACATCCGTGAGCAACTGTGGGCGTGGACATGTGCTTTCACTTGTCCTGGGCGTGCACCTGGGTGTGTGCTGGTCCCATGGTAGCTCTAAGGACAGCCACAGTGTTGTCCCTGGTGGCCACCCCACAGGACACCCCCAGTAGAGGCATGAGGGCTCCCATTTCCCACACCCTTCCCACATCTGCTATTTTCTGTTTTCTTGATGGCGACGGCCCTAGCGGATGTGAGGTTGTATCTCAGTGTAGTTCCGATTTTCATTTTCTCGATGACTGAGCACGAGAGCATCTTCTCATGCATGTGTTGGCCGTCTGTGTGTGCAGAGACATGTCCGTGTGAGTCCTCGTACAGGGACTGTTTGTGTTTTGTTGCTGAGCTGTGAGAGTGGCTGTGCTCTGGATGCTAGACCCTGGTCAGATGTACGGCCTGCAGAAACTTCCTTCCACATCGTGAGCCGTGTCTGCACTTCCTTGATGTGTCCTTGGAAGCACAGAAGGTTTCAAGTTCAATCGGGCCTCATGTATCTATTGTTTTTTCTGTTGCCTGTGGCTTTAGTGTTATATCTAAGAAACCATCATCAAATCTAAGGTCCCAAATTTTACATCTCAGTTTTCTGGGAGTTTTATGGCTTTACCTCTGACATTGATGTCACCAATGGCCTCTGCGTTACCAGGTGTGTGTGGTGTGAGGCAGGGGTCGGGATCTAGCCCTTCTCCGGCGCATTCTTGTCCCCACACCACGTGCACCACAGGTTGTGTTTCCCACTACATGGCCCAGGCACCTTGTCAGGAACCAGCTGGGTGCCGATGTTTGGGTTTATTTCCGGGCTTTTAGCTCTAGTCCGTTGGTGTGTGGACTGTCCTGTGCTGGGGTCACACTGTTCTAATTACAGCTTGGTAATAAGTTTGGAAATCAGGAAGTAAGACTCTTTGCGCTTTGCTCTTTTTCGAGCCTCTTTGAGCTGTCAGGGTCTCTTGCAGTTCTACGGGAGTCGTAGCAGCCTCTACACTTCTGGGGGGAAAGGCCACTGGGTTTTGATACAAACTGTGCTGAATGTGCAGAACACGGTGGCGGGGGAGGGGTTCCCATCTTAAAGTATTCACTTGTCCAGTTCATGAGTTTAGAACAACCTTCTGTTTAAGTCCTCTTTGATTTCTTTCAACAGTATTTTGTAGCTTTTGTTATAAATTTTACACTTAAAAAAGATTTATTTCCAAGTATTATATTCTTTTTGATACTGTTGTAAGTGGAATTACTTTTGTTTCTTTTTGGAATGTTCATCGCTGGTGTTTGGAAATAATGTGAATCCTCTGACCTCAGAATAGGCAAATGTTTCCTAAATACGGAAATTCAGGTTTTCGTGTCTTGTTCTTGTCTCCTACAACTTTGCCAAATTTATTACCTCTAACAATTTTGTGTGCATGTGTGCACGTGTGTGTCTTTAGCGTTTTCTGCATTGAAAATCATGTCATCAGTGGGGAGAGATGTTTTATTTCTTCCTGTCCAATCGGGATGCCTTTTCTTTCTTTCTCTTTTACTTCCAGGAACATCAGCGTACCCTTGAGGGAAAGTGGCAGGGGTGGGAGTGCTGGTCTCTCTGCTGCTCTTGGGGAGAGGATCCAGGCTGTCCTTCTGCACAGGATGTCCACAGTGAGCTCTGCGCACATACCCTTTGTCAGGCTGAAGTTTCCTCCTATTCCTAGTTTGTTGAATGCTTTTTTTTTTTTTTTTTATCATGGAAGAGCAACATACTTTTGTGAAGCAATATGCCTTGGAAATTTTGAAGGAAAAACAATTTATTTGTAGCTGGAAAAAAATCTTGACCAGGGCAAAACGGTGAAATCCCGATCGTATGGACAAAACTTGTGTGAAGCTTCTATAAACGTTATTTTTAGAATTCCCGTGGAGGCACAGTGCTCCTGGAGGAGACAGCGTGGTGATCATCAGAGTTGTAGGGGCCCATATCTTTGTAGGGTTGAAAGAAGGCGGCCCAAGTGAAGAAAGTTGCCTTTATCAGTGAGTTCTCGGATGCGCGATGGGGAGAATGCTCTTTGTGGATAGGACACAGCGTGGTAATTATGGTAATCATTCAGCCGATTTACTGATGTTTGTTCACCTCACAGAAACCCTTTCCCCTTTCTGGTATTAAGAGTACTGATGGTTCCACTCGTTAAAGATAGGGGTGTGATGTACAGATAGACAAAACAACCAGTGTGTATGCATTTGGTAAATTTCTTTAACTCAGAGGCTCACATCAGACCTTTATTTTCATTATTGCTTTTACTGTCTCTTTAATTGATTGGTATGTGGCACATATTCCAAGTCCTACAAGTCGTCCTGCAGGAATTCCCGTGACCGGCAGCAGCCTGCATGGCACAGGTCCCAGGTCTGCACCCGCTGTCCAGGTGATCCTTCCGCTGTGTGACTGAAGCCTGTCCTGGGCCCACGAGCTCCTCTGCCAGCTCCTGGTGGTGGGCCCGCCCCCCTCACAGGCAGGCAGGGTCACCTCAGGTCCACCGGGGCTGGACAGCCACGGTGTTGGTGTTGTGGCTCAGGACCTGCTGTCTGCCTTCCACTCAGATCATGTTCCCAGTGTCCTGGGATAGAGCCACACATCAGGCTCCTTGCTCCATGGGAAGCCTGACTCTCCCCTTACTTGTGGGTGTGTGTGCTCATTCTCTCTCTCTCTGACAAATTTAAAAAAAAAAAAAAAAGATTGATGTCACCCAGTGTTGGAAAGAGTGTGGGAGAAGGCGATCCTGTAGTACCCCTTCTAGAGCATGCATCTCAGAAGCCAGCGAGAGGAGCTTACCCTTCAGACAGTCCCGTCAGCAGGGATTTCTCTGAAGAAATCAGTGGTCAGTGTGCAAAGTTAGCTTTGACAAGGACAGTCAGCAGCTATTTGTGGATCAACCTCCACGCGTGAGATTTGGAACAATGGTTAAATTATAATTATAATTTGCCAGACACATGGAATATTATGTAGCCATTAAAGAACTGCGTAGATGTAAATGTATCTTAACATACTATTCTGTCATGTTCTAAGTTTTGAGTGATATTATATGTGTAATGTACAGACGTATAATAATAATATATGGGAAGAATGATCGCATTAAGATGTGTGTGTATACACAATGTATGCGGGTTGTTAGCACACATGGAAAGAAAGTTCCGGATTATGCACCAAAACGTTAAGAGATTCACGGGGCAGTGATGAGAGGTATGCTATGTGGAATAGACCTTTTTCTGCTTCCTACTCATGACTTAAATTTTTCTATCATTTTGTAAAAATCCAGAGGCTAAATAATCACAGGTTCTTTCTTTCTCCTGGCTGGACATAGGGCTGGTGCGACTCTGACAGGGCGCTTGGCCTGCTGGCCCTGTGCCAACGGCGAGACTGGGTCTCACAAGCTATTAGGTCTCACGTCTTCGGGGCATGAGGTTGGGGAAGGGTGCCAGGGCCAGCAAATGTCCGGTCACATGATGCCATTTTCACTGTCCCCTTGTCTCCTGCAGATGAGGACACCAAGGTCCCACCTCGAAGGCGACTCTACACGGCGAGTTTGCCTCCTGAGGGGTATGTCCCTGCTCCGCCAGAGCCACGGGGCAGCCCAGCCTCCGAGGACACGTCTGGCAGCGATGACATGGGAGGAGGGTGCCAGCTCCCAGGTGAGGTGTGGCTCCATGGTGTCCCACTCGCACAGACGCACGGTGGGAGGGTCAGGTGAGCATGTCCGCAGACAGCCACATGCTGGGCTCAGCATATCTTGCAGTCCGTGGAAAATGACGGCAAACAGACTTGGGTGGGAGGGTTCCGCCAGAGTGGGTCCGGAGCTGTCATCGTCCGTAGATTAGGAGAAGTCTGCCGTAAACACAGCACAGGGTTAAAGGTACTTGTTTTGGTTTAAGTGGAACTTTTTTCTTGATTTTCCAATTTTTTCAGAATTTCTGAGATTGTGTGCAAATTTTGTAATCACGGAAATAACTTCTTTTGCATCTGTTTTATGGAAGAACCGAAAGAGTATTTTGCTTTCGTGGTTGAATGTCCTGTGAATGAAGGAGGATAAAATGCCTGCTTTGGTGTGTGCACTGGGATCACATGAAAGTGGAACAGAGTGGAATTGGTAGATGTCAAATAAAAGTTTACCCAGATGATTTTCTAACAAGTATAAACTAAGAAACTCTATACTCCAAACCTTAATTAATTTGAGTATCAAGGAAATGTGGTTTCCTTGGACGTTGATCTTCCCAAGTCCCTAATTAAAGGATCAGAAACCATAAAGCCAGAAAAGGGGTGGCGAAGGAATGATGTAGTCGTCTTTCCAAGCCCTGTTAAAAATCTTTAGAATGTAATTGTTAGATGAATAAATTATTTAATGAGAAATTTTAATGACAGTCTTCTGAAGATCAGTGACTTTGGTGAACATACTTTATGGGTACTTAGTGTATTCAGTAAGAACGTGGGGGACTCAGTCCTGTGCCATGGGACACAGTTCTGCTCCCCAGCAACAGCGCATGGTTAGCACTGCTGATGAGGCCAGCAAGGGCCCGGCTGCGTCCAGAACCCCTGGGTCAAACGCTTGCGTCTGTCCTGTGACCGTAGGCCCTGAGCTGGAGTGACACCCTCACAGGAGGTAGAGGGATGTTGGCACAACTGGGCAAGTGCCTCCCACCCAAAAGCTGCCCCCCACACAGGCCAGCTGGCCCTGTGCTGTGGCTGGCCCGACAGCGGCCCACGGCTGTGAGCGAAACCATGAAGACCAGGGGGCTGCCTGCCTACCGGCGATGCACGGTAACCTGGCAAATTCCCTAGTGCGTTGGGTGACGTTGACCGCGATGCACGGTAACCTGGCAAATTCCCTAGTGCGTTGGGTGACGTTGACTGCAACATTGTTACAGGATACATGTCTGCAACTTGTTGGGCAGAGTCTTTCTGTTAATTGTCTCGTCCTCTGTTACCTGTTGGGGGCGTGGGTCTTCCTTTCCCAGAGGTTGTGATCGGGGAAGGGCCCGGTGGAGATGGGGGTGATGGGACTGCGTCCCGACCCGTCACCCTCTGAGGGGAGCGTGGGCAGGTCCAGCCCTGAGCTCAGTCTTATGCACCATGCTCCGACCATTCTGCCTCAGGACCCTGTGTGGCTGTCTGCCACGGTGGTCTCTCCGCAGCTGGCCGAGTCCAGCCTCCTCACTGGCCAGGGTCTGGGCTTGAGGACATGATTCTTTCTGGAGGCCCTGTGAGCTCGGTTTCCTAACTCCGTGCTGCTGGAAGTACTGCCCGCTTTTCCAGAAGAGCTTCAATTAGCTCACCCATCAGATTGCGGCTGGGAAGTCTGTATCTTACCCTTTTCCACTCTTAGAACCCCTCTCTGTTCCCATCTACTTTGTTTACTGTTTATCAAATGTTTCCTTCTCCTTGTCAGCCCAGGAAGTGGGCTGCTGCAGGGCACTGGAGGCGGTAAAGTTGGAGGAATGTTCACCCAGGCCTCCTACCAGTGGTCTCCAGTGTGAGCGAGCATTCAGGGAGGCCCGTGCACCAGGCTCCGCGCGGTGGGTGTGCAGGGGTGCGGGTGAGCAGCAGCTCGAAGCCTGAGCACGCGCCAGGTGGGGGGTGTGCAGACCAGGAAGCTGCAAGGAGTTGTCCTGAATCTTTCTGTTTGTGATTTTAAGCAAAAAGATGAGCACTCACATTGGAAAAGAAGAAAGAGTCAAATTGTGTCTCTTTTTCCAAGAACCACTTCTGGCCGTTGACTTCCACTGTGAATATGCAAGACCAGTAAGTTAGTGACGTAGTAGCTTGGAGAAAAATTTAGGAGGAAAAGGGCGACTCTGTCCTGCTTTAGTGTCCACGGGTGGCTGCCGGGCCAGTCGTTTGCGGCCTGCATGTGCTCTGCACCCTCACCAGGCACTCCTGTGGGACCCGGCCATGGCCCAGAGCACCTGAGTCCCGGGGCTGCCCAGGGAGCCAGCGGGGAGCCCCCATCCTGGTCGTCGGTCATCCCACGCGCACCCCCCCATCCATTCTGTACCTGCCCCAGAGGAGGTCCCGTCCGTCTGGGTCGCCCCACACCAGCTCCACTGCCTGCATCCTTGGCCCCTGGCATGAACGCACTTGGGGCTTGTGAACTGTCCTCACCGGGTTTGTTCCAGGCCCGCATGTGTCTGCTGTGGAGACAAGCACGCGCTTGCCAGACCCGTGTCGCGGGTGTGCTCCTTGCAGTCCGTGCGGCCCTTCCCATTCCGTGGGTGACCTCTGTGTGTAGCATACATGGACTTGGAATTCTCTGGGGCGTAGTACCTGTTAGCAGTGGGCCGGTGGGTGCCGCAGGGTAAGAGGAGCTTCGTCAAACCCGGCAGGTACCACCGGGCCGCAGGATCCTCCTCCTTACATTTGATTCACGCAAATGCCTCGGTACGGCTTTTGAGAAGAAGAAATCCGTGCTCGCTCCTTCCTGCCTTGGACACCCGCTGTTTCTGCTCTTGCCCACGTGGTTTTGCACGTTATTCTCAACAAGCCGGTAAACAGTAGCCCGTCCCCCGTACAACAGACGCCGTCCTTCTTGGTAGCTCTTCCAGGGACAATGCTAAGTGGTTGAGTCCTTTCTCCGGCGGGAATAGTGTTCTGCTCACCGTCTTGGTGCATCCCCAGGAATGCTGTCCTCTGTGACATTACACAACCCAGGACCCTACCATGAAGGTGTATCTCCCACCCCCCGGGCAGCCAGGTAGCGAGTACTGTCCATCTTCAGAACGCAGCAGCTCAGTCTAGTCCCCAGCACACTGCCTGGCGGGACCCTGGGACTCAAGTGCCTGCTGGTGGGAACATGTTCATGAGAGAGCCACAGCCTCCTCCTGACGCCCCACGTTCATCCCCTGAACTGCTTCCATGTCGCCTGCAGAGGGAGAGGTGTGCAGAGTCTGGGCGTGCCCGTGTCCTGGGTTCTCATGGTCCCAGCCGGTGGGAAGTGCTCTGCGGTGCTGGTGCGCCTACAGGAGGGAACATCCGTCACTCTGCCCCTAGGCTTAGGGGAGCGCTTCCATTGTGCCAAGTCAGGTCGGAAGAATGCTGTGCATCTCCTTTATGTCAGCACCCCTTCCTCTAGCAATATCATCCGAGTATTTCATTTTTAATGAGGTTAAAGGCCTGGAGAGTGTTTTTTGTTGCTAGCTTGTTTTTATAAACTATCATTTAAAACTTTGTTCTTCGTTCACTGTACATCCCTGATGTTTACATAAAACCCAGATGAAAATTTGTTTTAGCATTTGGTCCTAGAAAATGCTTTGGTTGTTAGGACCTGGTATGCTGCTGCTTATTGGACAAAGTGTGGTTTACTCAGGCACTCTCTTTTTGCTTTTGCTGCCGGGGAGCTCAGAGTATAGTCTTTTTGTAGTCTTTATTCAGTTGCAGTTGTTTTCCTTGATCTTTGTTCTCTGATCCTTACCTGTCCCCACCTCTCAATGCTTGGGTCATTCCTTTTAGATAGAGTCCTTATGATGTTGATTTGTGTAAGCTACCCCTATGGTTTTTGGAAGTAGATAAAGTAAATGGTGTTCAACAAGGATGTCTCTTAACTAGTAAATGCCTGTTAAATGTTTGTGCTTGCCACGTGGTTAGGCCCTGGGACCATAAAGACAGCAGACAGGGCCTTGCCTGAGGGGCTCATCACTGGGAGACCGTGAGCAGCTGAGGTGAGGCATCGTAGGTCATCTGGCACAAGTACCAGTGAATGCCGCGGGAGCACAGGGTGACCTTGGGGTCGCACGTGTGCAGAGGACACAGCACAGCAGGCAGGGCCCCTGATCCTGCAGAGAACATGGCTTGGGGACGATGGACAGAGGGCAGCAGGACCACTGGTGGTGTGTGTGTGGCATGCAAGCCAGCTGTGCTCAGCATGTTAGTGGCTGAGCCCGCTCTGGGTGGGGACAGATGAGTGGGCGGTGGGCAGTTCCAGATCAGCACTGAGGGGCTTTGGATAGTGTCCCAGGAGCAGGCAACCTTTGGGGTCTGGACTTGGCATGTCTGGGGCACAGTGAGGGAGAGAGGGTGCCGTGACCTGAGCCGTTGGTGGGTCATGGAAGGAAGGTGTTCCCCAGAGCGGCAGCCAGATACGTGACTTTCCTTGAGAGAAGGGAACTCCGCCCGTCAGTGCTCCTGACCCCGGAGGAGCTGCGGTGAGGATGGACAGGCCATGACTGTCATGAACATCTCTGCTTCTGGTGAACTTGGCTCTCACCCTACGGTGCCTCCCGCGTGGAGGTGAGGTGCTCACACAACCATGGGCATGGCAGAGCTTGTCCCAGGAGGGCGTCCGCGCCTCAGCACATGCTGGGGGCAGGTGAGCCCCACACCGCACTGGGAGTGGAGATCAGCCGGGAACACCGTGTGGTGTGAAGCTGCTGTGGGGCATCCCGTGGCCGGCGCACGTCACACGCCCCCGACATGACCATTTGCACTTGCACCGTGCGTTTCCCAGCGTCTCCGCACGCCCTGGTTGGCAGCTCTGTAGGCCTCGCTCATCCTTCCCAAAGGAGGGTTCTGGGCCCCGTCAGCCTCACGGCATGTTAGTCTTACAGCAGACCCTCGCCTCTCACATTTGTCTTTGTGGCTCAGTGACTGTGCCCCTGGCTTCCTTCGGCCCCATGTTCAGTGAACGCTTCGAGCCGCCGAACCA